CCTGCTTTGCAAGCGCAAGGTCCCAAGTTCGATCCCTGGTGCCAAAACAAACAAACAGAATACTGAGAGACAAAACAGGTGATTTTCAAATGCTTCTCAGAATTGAGAATTTATTTTGGAGTGCCTACTTAAAAATATTTAAAGTCTTCATGCTACTGAAAGAACTTATGGAAAAAGGCTCCTTACAGGTGATTTCTTTTTTATTTTTTTTTTTAAACAGGTGATTTCTTAACATTCCAGGAAAATTTCAAAGTATAATAGTCTAAATATTCATGTTTAAATGTGAATCTACAATAGATTTTATTTCTGATTTTTAAAAAATCTAACAAGTACATAGTGACTTTTCTTTGTGGATTTTTTTTTCCCCTATGATTTCAAAGACTTGCTATTGATCAGACATTAGTATGGGAGAGTACCTTTTAGGGTTCCCAGAAGTCTGCAATGGGGAAGGACAACCATAGTTTCAGTAGTTACCACCGGAGGATGATTGACTTAACCAGAAGAGAAGACAGTAATTTTGTTATGCCAGTAGTAGTATAGGTAGGACAGATGCAGAGATTACGTGGCTGAAGGTTACTCAAGTGAGAATTTGAGATGCCAGTGGTATTACCAGTGATTCTTTTTAAAAAGAAAGAAAATGGGCCGGAGATTTAGCTCAGTGCCACCACGCCTCCCTTGTAAGCGCAAAGACCTGAGTTCAATCCCCGGTACCAAAAAAAAAGAAAGAAAATGCCAGGCATGGTGGTACATGCCTGTGAATCCCAGCTGGTCAGGAGGCTGAGAGGATCACTTGAGTCCAGGAGTTTAAGACCAGCCTGTACAACAAAGCAATGCCCTGTCTAAAAAAACAAAAAAAAAGGACAAAGAATCGTCATTATTGTTTTATGTCTTTGAATGTTAATAAGTCTCACATATTTAAGCCTTCTTTATTGTTTCCATAATAGTCTGTCATTTTCATAGTCCTTACCTCATATTTTCAACTTAATGTATCACAATTTGTAAGTATGTTAAAAATTGGTGGGCCAGGGATTTAGCTCAGTGGTTCCACTATCTGCCTCACAAGTGCAAGGTCCTGAGTTTGATCCCCAGTACAAAAACAAAACAAAAGAAAAAAGAAAATATTGGTTAGTTTTATTGGCCACTTTAAGGGTTTATGTTTATGTGTTAATTTTTGTCCTCAAAGAATTGTAGTAGGAAAAATCTACAGTGATTTACTCCAGTCAACTTTCTCATTCAGGAATCTAATAGATTCCTGACAGAAAAGGTTATTATTCCTCTGAATACCTCTCAAAAAGAGCTCAGGGCTCTCTGAGCCATTCCAATGTTGGGCACACCTATTTGCTATGAATTCTGTTACGTCAAGTTGAAATTCAACCTATATAGTCTATATAGTGATTAATTTTGATTTTATTTTTTCTGGTTAAAGTTGAATAAAGTTACTTAAAGGGATTTCTAAACTGCTCACCTGTTCACAGTAAATTCAGTACAGAAGCTGAGTAAATATTTAGAAACTTTGGAACAGCTTTCTGTTACCATGATCATCTCACTGTATTTTATGAAAGTGTAATGATTGGGAGGAAAAATCAATCTCTTACAGATAGTTGGAGAAGCACTGGTGTAGGACATGTATCCTCTTTTCTTCCCCTGACAGTAACTCAGATATTAGCAAACTGCCTGTTCTTCAGACTAAACACCTCCAGGTTGTCAGTTTGTTCCATGATTTCCAGATAGTTCACTACCCTTGGGATATCTGTCTCAGATGCATTGTTTAATATTTGTGACTTAAAATTGCTTTTACTTTTAGAAAAAAAAAATCAAGCATTCAGTTCTAGTGACTAAGTATTAAATGAGACTTGAGAGATTCTTTCTTAATGTAAAATGATAGGTATGAGATATATAATTACCCAACTACACTCTCCCCCCAAGCTTTGAAACTAGCCCAGTTTTCCTGATTGCAAGATTAGAGTCTCAAATTTACATTCAATGCTTTGTAGATGTTTAAATGTTTGAAATTAGAATAAACTCACTATAAAAAGGAGATAGCCACATTTAGATATAAATTCATTCAATTGAGTAGGCCTTCTGATTTAAATTTCAAAACACTTTGTATCTTATTTTTATTTTTATTTTTTTTGGTACCAGGGATCAAACTTGGGTCCTTGTGTTTGCACAGCAGGCTGCGAAACCACTGAGCTAAATCCCTGGCCCTGTATCTTACTTTTAGAGTCAACTTGTATATCAAACAGTAGCCTACAGTGTGTAAACCACAGTGCTAGTCTCACATACCTTATTAAATTACTTTCAACCTAAAAATTTAAATTAGGAACAGCATATTTTTTGTGATAGACAAATGAATATATGAAAGTTACATTCAAAAAGTAAATATCTGTTAGTAACTATTAGAATCTTAACATTTCAGAGTTGGAAAGAGACCTTTCCTGAGAGAGCAAAGGAGCTTGCTGTCCTATGCAAAGGGAGAATACATACTTAGCTTTTCTAGAGTGAGATATCAAAGGAAACAAGCTCTATGACCTGAGATTACTTTAGAAATTTAATTAAGTTAATGCATATTAACTGAAAGAATTTTAGAAGCTGCCAATTAGGAGAATGTTATCAGATAAGAATCAAGCCAGGCACAAGGGCACATGCCTGTAATCTCAGCTGCTCTACTTGGAAGGCCTAGGCAGGAAGATTGCAAGTTTGAGGCCTGCCTGGGCAATTTAGCAAGATATTACCTCACAATAAAATAAAAAAGGTCTGAGGATGTAGCTCAGTGATAGTGCTCTTCTCTAGCATGCTGGTGGACCTGGGTTCAATTCCCATTGCTACAAAATAAATAAGAATCATTATGTAATAAGCTCAAGGTCCTAGTTTGATCCCTGGTACCAAAAAAAAAAAAAAAGAATCATTATGTAATAAAAGGCTATTTATATGTCAGACCACAGGAAAATATGTTGTCAAAAATAACCTAGCAGTTTGGCCTACCATTCTTCTGTAGAATTAAATTTGTCAGAAAAGGCTTCTACAGAAATATTTGCAGTCTGCAACATTACAAAAAAAGGTACAACAATCTTTATTTTTTGTAATTGATTTTTAGTTTTTAATGTGCTTAACCAATTAAAAATAATGAAGTGTTTCCATTCAACCCAGATATTCCCCGCCTAGCTATCTTCCCCAAATAATTAAAGACATTATATTACAATAATATATGCATACCCATATTTATAGCAGCACAAGTCATAATAGCTAAATCTTGGAAGTGGCCTTTATGTCCATCAAGAAATAAATGGATAAAGAAAATGTGGTATTGGGCCAGGGATTTAGCTCAGTGGTTCCGCCGCCTGCCTCACAAGCGCAAGGACCCAAGTTCAATCCCTGGTACCAAAAAAAAAAAAAAAAAAAGAAAATGTGGGATTTATACATAATAGATAGTACTCTGCCATAAAGAAGGATAAATTTCAGCCATTTATAGGAAAATGAATGTATCATAAGACCATAATGTTAAGTGAAATAAATCAGACACATGAACTTAAATATCACATGGTTTTTCTCATATGAGATAACCAAAATAAAAATAAAGAGCAAAAAAAAGTAGAAATAGGGAGGTAGATCTTCTGGAAAAGGGAAGGGGACCGAGAGACAGAGGGAGGGGGAAGGAAAGGAGAAGGAAAGGGGATGAAAAAAAGAAGTAAGATGTGCTTATTGTACCAAAGCCCCACAATGAATGTACTCATAATGTACCACAGGGCTGGGGATTTAGTTCAGTGGTTCCGCCACCTGCCTCACAAGTGCAAGGTCCCGAGTTTGATCCCCAATACCAAAAAAAAAAAACACACACACACATAATGTACCACAAAGATGTACTAATAAAAATTAAAATTTTAGGGGTCGGGGATTTAGCTCAGGGGTGCCGCCACCTGCCTCACAAGCGCAAGGTCCCGAGTTCGATCCCCAGTACCCAAAAGATAAATAAATAAATAAAAATAAAAATTTTAAAGGATGAAAAATAGCCAAAATGTATCATATATACTTTGTGGCTTTAAAAGATGAGAATATATTCCTTAATGTAGTAGTTTTTTAAGGTTTTGAATGAAAAGTAAAATTGTGAGGCAGCTCTTGGAAAAAAAAAATTAGAGCCAGGTACAGTGTCATATACCTGTAGCCTGGCTACTTGGTAGGCTGAGGCAGGAGGATCACTTGAGTCTAGGTTTTCAAGGCTATAATGTATTATGCTAAGCAGGTATCTGCACTAAGTATAAAGGATGATCGAGATATATAGTGAATGTTTAAATTTTAAAAATTTTATTACAATAAAAGACACATTGACAGACTTAAAAGTAGGTTATAAATCGGACACAAAACTAGGTTATCTTGAAAGAAGGAACTTTGGTGATTTGCCATAAAATAAATGCAATAAAAACTTCATTTGGACATTGGGGGGATGACACTCGCCTGTAATCCCAGCACTGAGGAGGTTGAGGCAAGAGGATCACTGCAAGTTCAAGGCCAGCCTGGGCTACATTGTGAGACCTTGTTACAAAACAAAACAAAACTCTCATTTGGTGATCATCAGAGGTGTTTTAACGTCATAACATCCTCACAAATTGAATTGAAAGGGAGCTGTTTAATAATCTTGTCCAACCCTCTCATCTCACAAGAGAGTAATTTTAGACTCAGGTTGAGTGACCAGACCCAGGTCACACAACCACCACTAGTTGACTAAATTGAGCCTTTGGTGGGTGGGGCTGGGTGGATGAGGAATCTTTTGTTCTTTCTCTTCCTGCAGAGTTTTTAAAATACTGTTTTGTTAGTCTGGCAAACTGCCCAGCGCCCTTCGGTGCTGCGGTTCAGATGATTCCGTTTTATTCTTTAACTTGTTTTTGTTTTGTCGTCTCCAGGAAGTCCGCAGCTGGATCCGGTTGGCTGAGGAAACTGGCCAGTCTGGTGAGGTTCCAGCGGCTGCCCCGCCCTCTGGGCCGACCGGCGGGCTGAGAATAGCTGACTCCAGAGCTCTCGCTCATGTGACCACCACAGCTTTCTGCTCTGCTTCTTGTCCACAGCCAGGGTGGGCACGGGCAGGGCCGCTTCTGTGAGGAGCACGAGGTAGGCACCTCAGTTCTGAAGGTCCGCCATTGGAACAGCTGGAGGGGACACCAGACAGGCAGTTAAATGATCGTGACAGATGAGATATCAGGCTCTCCACTCAGGTCCGGGTCTCTTGAAGCAGTGGAAACAGAAAGTGACTGGCCTCAAGTTGACCCGCACAGTCCCTTCTGACCCTTCCCCTTCCTTTGTCCCCGACTTCAAGGAAGGCTGCTCTGCCCTTCCTTCTTCTGTCCTTTGACCTTCTTTCCCCCTCAATAACAGACCTTTTCCCCTTTCTCTTGCTGATTTAGCACACTGAGGGGACGGGAGAGATTAATCAGTGACAAGAAGCTGAGTCTTGTGGGGAGTGGTGAGCTGTTGTGGTCAGACAAATCTTTGCAGGTCCAGCCCCCCGGAGTTTCTCCTGCCTCCCGCCTGCTGCTCATCCACCTGCTCCTGCCATGGGGAACCTTGGGGCCTTCCTCTTCCTGTTGGGGGCCCTGGGGGCTCTTGCTCAGATCTGTGGTGAGTAACCAGCCCGTGTCTCATTCCTCTTTCCTCCTGGGTTTTTTTTTTTTTTTTTTGGTACTGGAGATGGAACTCAGGACCTTGAGCTTGGAGGCAGGCAGCGGAACCACTGAGCTAAATTCCCTCCTCCTGGGTTTCAGCGAGAAACGACTACCTTTCCAAGACCATTCATTGTCTGTCTGGGGAAACAGACTCAGGGGTGGGATGGGGGAATTTATTTGCCCCTCCTGGCTCCCACAACAGTTTGGGTTAATCTGGACCTCAGAATTTGGCACTTTGTATTGAGATTATTTAGATGCCTGACTCTCCAAGAGAGTCAGACAAGATCAAGTCAGAAAATAGGAGGGGATCAAGAGCTCCCCCATTAATTCAGGTATGTGTTCATTTATCCACCCAACACACATTTACTGAGGCTTCTCAGTGTCTCGCCTGGTATTAGGCTTTGGAGAAAACACAGGGCAGGGTCAGTTTGATCTCTGTCTTCCTAGAGTTTAAATCCTAGGGAACAGAGTGGATAAAAGAAAACAAGTTTAGCTGTTCCTGGTGGGGCATGCCTGTAATCCCAGCACTCAGGAGGCTGAGGCAGGAGTATTGCCTTCAGTTCCAGGCCAGCTTGAGCCACATGTTGAGTTCAAAGTCAGCCTGAATTACTGAGTGAGACCCTGTTTCAAACAAACAAACCAGAAAAGAAAAAGAAAGAAAGAAATCAAGTTTACAAATTGGGTTATGATGAGTGCTGCAGAAGCCAACCAGGAGTGGAATGGAAGTAGCCAGGGGACCACCAATCAGGTAAGGACTTGGAGACCCCTATGGGAGCTGAGACCCAAAGAAGGAAAAGGAACCAGTGAGGAAGGGAGTGGAGACCATATTCCAGGCAGAGAGAAGTGCTCAGAAACCCCTCCTGGTTGTGTGTCCCAGGGTTGCAACCCTCAGGACCTCTGGAGACCTCTCTGTCAGTCTCAGTGCATAGCTCAGGCTCACTTGTCCACCAAGACAGGCAGGAAGCAGAAAGCAGGCCTTAGGACCCTGACTGCCCACCTCTGTCCTTCCCTCCTTTTGCCCTGCGCATCTGGTCTCATGATCGTAGCAACCCTGAGAGGCAGATGCTGGCAAAATCAGGCATCAGATAAAGATGTCGAGGGTCAGACTAGCCAAGTGACCTCCTCCAGGTGCTCCAGCTGTACTAGACCTTTGGAACTTCAACCCAACATCTCCCCTGGGCACCAGAGTCTTCTGGCCTATGTTCCACAAGGGCAATCAGACCCCTCAGCCCTGAGTTCTTGATTCTTTTCCAAACGGTCCCCAAGGGAGACCAGAGTTGGCCCAGCCACCGCTTCCCCTCCTGCCCACTTGGCCAGCCTGGTCCTCAGCCTGACAATCAGCCCATGTGTTAGTTACTGTTCTCTCATTGCTGAGACAGAAGTTAAAAGGGGAAGGGGTTTATTTGGCTTATAGTTCTTAGAGTTTCAGTCCATCATCAGCCAACTTCAAGGCAGGGGTGACAAATAGGCATGGCAGAGCAGAAACAACATGGCACGAACAAGGTAGCAAAGGTAACGAGAGTTTAACAGCATCTTTCTGCCCCTTTTATCTCATTCAGACTACCGGGATTAGAGCAGTGCCAAACTAATCACCTACATGTAGTGGTTTAGTAATCACACGGCCTTAACTCCAGCATCACGAATTCCAGATTCATCTACCTCTGAAAATGCAAGTCCTACCTCATCTGCATGAGGCTTTGTGGGGACATCTAAACACAAACCATAACAGCCCATAAGCCTGACCTCATGAGAGTCCCCATCCTTGGGTTCTGAAGAACCTTGAACTGGGACTGAGGTGCAGCCTGCTGCTGCTGAATCACTTAATCATTACCAGCCTCATCCCCTTGCTCATAAAATGGGCTAAGAATGTTTCCCTGCCTTCCTCCTCATTTCGGTACTGGGATCCCATGGCACCTACTTTATCATTAAATCTCTGTGTACTTGTTGACCCGACAGGGATTGCAGTACCAATTCGAAAGCAAATAGGCCCCTCTGTTTCTGTTGTTGTTGTTTTTTTTTTGGTACCAGAGATCGAACTCGGGACCTTGCGCTTGTGAGGCAGGTGCCGGAACCACTGAGCTAAATTCCTGGCCTGGCCCCTCTGTTTCTGAATGGCAGTGCCAATTCATCCTCTGCTGGCAGAGCTGGGTGGCCCTGTGTGCAAGAGGCACATGAGAACAGGAAGCAATGGTGGGGCTAGAGCTTGCTTGGGGCCACTTTGTTTGTTTGGTTGATTGGGTTTTTTTGAGACAAGGTCTCAATATGTATCCCAGACTGGCCTTGAGCTTGCATTGATCTTTTTGCCTCAGTGCTGGGATTACAGGCAGGCGCCACTACGCTCAGTGCGAGAACACTTTTATTATCCTGGATGAATCTGCCCAGGTTTTTCTTTCTAAAGAAGTTAAACTGTGGTTACCAGCCTCCCTTTACAGCTTCCTCCTTATCTTTGCACATTTAACCCCAGCTGACTCATTGTAGTGGAGGTCAGAGCCCAGGGTGGGGACAGAGGGCCCCTTCACCAGTTTCAGGAATGAGGAGAAGAGATGAAGAGGAACAGATGATCAGATTGTCAGAGACAGAGACAGCAAGAGACAGAATGCTAGAGAGGTGGAGACAAGCCAGGTTGGGTGGTGCACACCTGTATTCCCAGAACTCAGGAGGCAGAGGCAAGAGGATTGCCATGAGTTTGAGGCCAGCCTGAGCTACATAGTGAGACTCTGTCTCAAAGAAAAAAAAAAAAATGGAAACACACTAATAAAAAGCAATCCTCCCTGGCTGTCTTTATAAACATTAGCTGAGAAACCAGCCACATGTTCTGGCCTGGCCACACACAGCAAAGAATTATTTGGGGTTACACACCAGTGAATGGTCACCTAATAGTGACAGATAACTGTGACTTTTGGGAAAACTGGTGTAAGTTGGTGGGATCCAAACTTAAAGAGACAGGACTGTGTTCTAGGAACCTGGTCCTCGGGCCAGGAAGCCCAGGAGGCACCAAAACACTCTGCACCAATTCTTTTCCTTAGTCCTCGGGGGTGGGGGGTGGGAGGCGGGGGTCCTGCCTGGCCTTCTGGGATGTGGCACTGTGGAGGCCACCATGATCCTTGGGAAGCTGTAGCTGGCAGTGACTGAAATGCAGTAAGGCAGTAAAAGTGGAAGAAAAAGCCAAAGTGCGTCCATGCCAGTCTACTCTCAGTGACCCTGTCCTGAGCTCAGATCCCTTCCGCAAGGCTGGAGTAGTTCACCAGAGCTGGGAAATAACCCTGAGGCTTCTACTTCAGGAGTATTTCAGTATCCTGATTACACAGTTTCAAGTAAATTCCAGGGCACAAATGGATGACTATAGTGAGCCTCACAATCTCAGGCCATTTTCACTTAAACACAGAGATAGCATGGCAGGAAAAGGCAGGATCATTTTGAGATCCACATGGAGGAAATTAACCAGGCAGCCCTGGTGAACCAGCTCATGGTTTGCGGTGTTTGGAAATTGGATGCATCACAAATGCTGAGTGGGGCTGAAGTTCTTGGCTTCATCCTTGGCTTTGCAGCCTTGTATAAGGAAAAGTGTGACTGAACTCCTGTTCCTGTTTTGTGCAAAGCAACAAAGTTAGTATCTACCTTGCAGGTCTGGTGTGGGGGCGAAGTGAGATGGGCTGCAGTGCCTGTGGCATAGCACATGGCTTGATAGCCAGCCTCACTGCCACTCCTGATGAGTGCAGCAATAGTATCCTTTTCCCTCAGCCCACCACCTCTTCCTGCCCCACTCCAACTGCTCTTTGGAGACATCTCCTTTCCCCCTTTATTCACTGCATTTCAGTGGAGCCACGCAAGTGGGGTGTATATGGGGGGAAGATGTGAGGGACATTTATTCTCTGGGGAAGGCCCAGGTAAGGTCAAACCAGTTGCTTGCTACTGGCCTGGCCTACAACCTTGTGTGCACTATTTTCCTTTTCAAGTCATACCACAGATGGACAGTCAGCTGGTAGAGAGGCTTGGCCAGCACCTCTTGCCCTGGATGGACCGACTCTCCCAAAAGCACCTGAACCCCAGCATCTATGTGGGTCTGCGCCTCTCCAGCTTCCAGGCTGGGACCAAGGAAGACCTCTACCTGCACAGCCTCAAGCTTGATTATCAGCGGTGCCTCCTGGGGTATTGTTGCACTCTCTCTTCTTTCCCCATGTTTTGCTCCACACCCTAAGAGGCAGGAGACGTAGATTCTGGCCTGGGCCTGTCACTGCTTTTTTGGCAGACATCAGGCAAATTTTGTCTTTTGTGAATCTTTCTCTGTCTATAGAATGAAGGAGTTGGTAGGATGAAATCAGAGATGCTAGTACAGGACTCTTGTACTGCTATTGCATGCTCTTATATCTGAGGCAGACATCACTAATCCATAACCACATTCATCCTGAGCCAGAAAGCAGCTCTTGACTCTGTTTCCCTCCTGTGCATGAAGCAGGCATCACTAATCCATGAGTATATTCTTTTTTTTTTTTTCCGGTACCAGGAATCAAACTCAGGACCTTGTGCTTGCCAGGCAGGTGCGGCACCGATGAGCTAGATCCCCAGCCCCATGACTGTATTCTTGCACTGAGCCCAGAAGCAGCACCTGATTGTGCTTCCCTTCTGTGCATGAGGCAGGCATCACTAATCCATGACTATATTCTTTTATCCTTCCTGTGCACGAGGCAGACATCATTAATTCATAACTGCATTCTTTCCTACTCAGCCCAGAAGCAGCATCTTTCTGCTCTCTTTCCAAGGAGCATTAAGGAGAGGACTGTTCTGGTGTTTGAATGAACTTTGAAGAATCAAGAGCAACTTCCTCTTGAGAAATGGATATAGGGCAGGGAAAGGAAAGAAAGGGAAGACCGCGAGGGTGAAGCATGGTCAAAACATGGGGCAAGCCCAGGTGATTTGAATGCTGGTGCCCTTAGAATTTCTCCTTGAATTTAATCTTTCATCTGTTTAAACATCTGTGACACATACCTCATAAGAACATAGCTGACCAGACCTTACTTTTGGAAGGTATAGCAAAAAGTTTCCAACTATTAGCATTTTTTCTACTTTGTGATATGTGTGGGGGTACCCCAAGCCAGGCTCACCAAAGTGGTAACAGTTCTTAATCGGCCTTGTCCTAGGCCTGCCACCAGCAATGACAACAGTGACTGCCAGACCAAGCCTTCCATGGGCCAGCTGGCCCTCTACATGCTCGCTCTCAGGGCCAACTGTGAGTTCGTCGGGGGCCACAAGGGGGACAGGCTGGTGTCACACCTCAAGTGGTTCCTGGAGGATGAGAAGAGGGCCATTGGTGAGGAGATGCCATCTGCTGGGTATGGGCAGGGTTTAGAAGGGCTTACCAGGTGATATTCTTGGAGAGAACCAGAACTTTGGATATTTTCTCCCAGGCCTCTTACCCATTCTCCATCCTATCTATCTCGCTATCCACCTAGATATTCTTGCCTGCTCCAGTGAGCATGCTTGATCCAGCCTTTCCTGAACCCCACCCTATACACTCTTAGCCAGTCCTGATGCTCAGCTACCTGAACTGGGCTCACTGCTCACCTTCTAGGACATGTATATAGCTCCTTGACTGCTTACTCCTTGGCCTCCTCTACCAGCTTTCTGGCCTCCTGATGTTACCCAGCACATAGCCAGTGTTAGGGTCTCCAATATAAATTCTCTTGTTAGTGCTGCCTAAAGCCCACAGGGACCCCTCGCTGCTTTGTTAACAGCCCTCAGGCCCATCCTGCCTGCCTTTTTCTCCTCTCTAGGCTCTGCTCTGCTCACCCTCTCACCCAACCCTCTGTGGGCATTGAGCACACTGGCCTCTCAGCACACACGCCAGGGTCTTCATATATGTTCCCTCCTTCCCCTTCTAGCTCATTCCTGCTCTGCCGTTTCCTCTCCTCGTCCCCCGTGTCACTTCCTTATGGAATTCTGTCCCAATTCCTAGCTATTCAAAGACCTCTATCATGTGGCTCCAGGGACCTCAGGCCACACATTTCAGGTATAAGCAAGCTCTGGTGGCCATGAGCTGCATTGTGGTCAGAGGCCCCTGCCCTGCTATGTCCACTGCTACCTCCTAGCCGTTGCCTGATATGCAGTGAGACCTCAGCAAGGACCAGCGGAGGCAATGAAGGATCTCATGTGCTCCAAGGAACTGCCATATTGGGGTGCAGAAGCAATGGCAAGCCCTTAGGCCTGGCATAGCATGCCCACCCCATGGGTTTCTCCCTTCCAGGACACAATCACAAAGGCCACCCCCATACCAACTACTACCAGTATGGCCTCAGCATCCTGGCCCTATGTGTCCACCAGAAGCTGGTCCATGACAGTGTGGTGGGCAAGCTCCTGTATGCTGTGGAACACGACCACCAGGACCATCTCTCTGTGGGTGAGTGGGCCAAACCCTGCTGAGGCAGGGCCAGCATTCTGTCAGCCCCCAGCCCAAAGGCCTCCACACCCTGGCCCCATGCTCACCTTTCCTGAGACCCCTCCTTGTCAAATCTCTTAGGAGGGAAATGGGGAGGGAGCTGTTGTGTGTGGCATTGACTGTGATCCCGACCCGAGCTCCAGCACCCACTCACTGTAGGACCTCCTGGGTAAGTCAGGTGGCCTCGCCTGTAAAATGACCTCCCAGCAGCTATCAATAAAGGTATGCCTTACAAGCAAAGGACGTGACACCTGTCTGGCAAGGAGAAAGTTCTGGGTGCATAGTAATGCTCTCATCACCATGCAAACCAAGAAGCCTGAGAACTAGATTGAGGATCTGCTTTCTTTTGCAGGCTCTTGGGCCACCATTTCTATTTCTTGTCATTGTTATTCAAGGTCTCTTCTAGGCCTGACATTCCATGAATGTGTTCCTTGCACAGGGTGGAGTAGGATGGAGAAAGTGAAGGGGGAAGTTGTCCAGAGAATAGCAGCAGGGCCCTTGCCAGCTGGGAGATTGTACTGCCTCAGAGCCTTGTGGAAAAACAAACCACTGTGGACCCAGATACGGTGGTCCATGACTGTAAAGCTAGCTAATTGGGAGGCTAAAGCAAGAGGATCACAAGTTCAAGGCCAGCCTGGGTAATTTAGAAAGACTTTGTCTTAAAATAAAAATAAAAAGGGCTGAGGATGTAGAGCTCAGTGTGAAGGCCCTGGATTCAAACCCCACTCCCCCCACACACACAAAGTCAAAAAAGAAAACCCACTGTGGACATGTGAAAATCACCAAGACAGGGTAGAAGAGCTTTAAAAATCCCAGAGCCCAGGCAGCTTCCTATACCAATTAAATTAGACTGCATGGAGTCAGTAGTTTGTTTAAAACTCCACTAGGGTTTCCATATTGCAGCCAAGCTTGGGAGAGAGTGGTGTAAGACACAGTCCTCTTGGACCTCCCTCTGCCAGTCTCCAGCTTCACAAGGAGCAGAGCAACTAACCAACCAACCCAGTTTGCCCAGGACTGAGAGGTTTCCTGGGACGCAGGACATTCAGTGTCCAGATTTAAACTGGGGTCCCTCGCTGATCTGACCATCTTGCCCACAACTTCTTCAAGCCTTCCTGTGGCTTCTCATTGCCACAAGGGCTTGAACCCCAAGGCCCAGTCTGGCCTGGCGCCATGTGGTGTCCAGGCCATCATAGATTCTATTCCCCCAGACACAGTGGCCATGGCAGGCTTGGCCTTTACCTGTCTGGAGCGCTCCTACTTCAACCCTGATCTGAGACAGCGGATCACCACTGCTATTGGGACAGTTCGAGAGAAGATCCTGAAGACTCAGACCCCTGAGGGCTACTTTGGGAATGTCTACAGCACCCCACTGGCACTGCAGGTGAGAAATTGACCCCGGAGATCTGGCCATCCTTGGGGGGAGGGGTCACCTGGAGTGGGGAGTGGGCTGGCCAGGGGGAGGAAAGTCTGGCTCCTCCCTGCTCGCTGACTCACCTCCTCCTTTGCCCTATCTGTCACAGTTGCTAACATCCTCCCCAATGTCTGGGGTGGGGCTCAGCACCGCATGCCTTAAGGCGGGGGCAGCTCTGCTGGCCAGCCTGCAGGATGGAACCTTCCAGAATGCTGTCATGATTTCCCAGCTGTTGCCTGTCTTGAACCACAAGACCTATGTGGATCTCATCTCCCCAGACTGCCAGGCACCAAGAGGTAGCCAATATCTTTACAATTTGCTGAGCACCAATTGATGTCTGCATGTCCCAGTGAGGAGAGGTTACTTGGTCCTGATTTGCTGAGGCCACATGAGTTTGTGGGTGTGTGTGGGACATAGCAGCTAAAATGTGGTCACAGCTTCTGTTGTGGGTGTCCAACCGTTTGGTTTGCCTGGGCTGCACTGAGTGAAGAGGAACTGGGCTGCATATAAATGTATAATATAGTTAATGTCTACTAGTAACAGAACATCCTTTTTAATTTTTAACTTATTAAATTATTTTACACATAAACAGAAGCCCGTGATTAATAATTAAATAATAAAACTTATGTGTCTGCTTAATAACAGTAAACACCTGTCTTCACAGTCACACACATGCGAATCGGTTGAAATAACATTATCAGTGATCCCTGGGTTTTACTCACAAGGTCACACAAGCACATGTAACTTTTTTTTTTGGTACTGGGGATCGAACTCAGGACCTTGCGCTTGTGCGGCAGGCGAACAGCCACTGAGCTAAATCCCCAGCCCTCATTAACTTTTGATACAAGTGGGTTGGATTTCACTGACTCTGGGTGGTGGGCACAGAAACCAGGGTTAGCCCTGCACTGTACCCTCTCTCACATAGTGTTCCTGTGCAATGAGTCATGCAAAATGTCACTAAAAGTCACATAATAATCTTAAAAGTTTACAATATTTGCCAGGTAGCTTTAGTAGCCGTCTAGGATCACATCTGCCCCATGGGCCATAGGTTAGACATGCCTGCAGATATTATAGTATGGGGACAAAGATACCAAATGGAGGGCTCTAGGTGGGCTTCTTTTATGGTATTCAGAGCAGAAATGTTTGAATGAATGAATAAATGAATTAATGGATGAATGAATGGAGACAAACACCTTTTTGTTAACTCTGTTACATGGTAAGCCCCAGTTAGTAGCACTGAGTCAGGGGTCATCTAAAATAAGCTGGGTGTGGTGGTACACACCTGTAATTCCAGCACTCTGGGAGGCTGAAGCAGGAGATTCGTAAATTCAACCCAGCCTCAGCACCTGAGTGATTTAACAACACTGTGTCTCAAAAAAAAAAAATTAAAAAGGGCTGATGTAAAGATGTAATTCAGGGTGAAGACCCTGCTTCAATCTCCAGTGCCACAAGAAAAAGAAAGAAAAAGCTGAGCGTGTTGGCCTGTAATCCCAGCACTCAGGAGGCTGAGGCAGGAGGATTGCCTCAAGTTAGAGGTCAGCCTGGACTCTTAGTGAGTTAAAGTCCAACCTGAACTATGTAGCAAGACCCTGGAGAGAGAGAGAGAAAGAGACAGAGAGAGAGAGATAGGGAGGGAGGAGAGAGAGAGAAAGGAAGCAAGCAAACAGAAGCAAGAAAGAAAAGGAAAGTCAGGCAGGTGTGGTGGTGCATGCCTGTACTTCCAGCACTCTGGAGGCTGAGATGGGGATCACCACGAGTTCAAGGCCAGCCTGGGCTACACAGTGAGTTCACAACCAGCTTGGGGTGGCGGGGAGAGATTGCTTTGAAGAGGTGAATGGGAATTGCCAGGCGAGAAGGAAGATCAGAGTAGAGAGGAAGCAGCAAGGTCAAAGGCGCAACGAGGTAAAGACTTTGGGGGAACATTTTGTAAAACAGTGAGGGTCTACAGGGGAATGAGCAGGAGTGGCAGGCAGAAGAATGACAGAACTGAAGGCTGGGGTTATAGCTCAGTGACAAGAGTGCTTGGCTAGCATGCTCAAAGCCTGAGTTTGGTCCACAGCACTGCAAATAATAAAAAAGGTGAGATCATTAGAAGTGATAGGGCAGTGACAGGAACAAATGTGTGTTCTTGAACAAGTACCCTGGGGTACAATGTGGCAGATAAGTGGGAAGGAGATTCCAGAAGCAGAAAAAAGAGCAAGGAACCTTACCTTGGGAGGTGGAGGGATGTGGAGACTGAGGGACAAGGAAGGCTGGGCTGACAGCCAGGTTTCAGCTGAGCAGGTGGTCATGACATTGACTGAGCTCAGGACATGGGGAAGGATGAGGTCCAGATTGACCGCAGCATCTTCCAGGGAGGAAAGGAAGACTCACATCCTGGCTCCCTGTCCTCACACCAGCTGCCCCTTCCTTTCTCCCTGGCACAGCCCTGTTGGGACCAGCTCCTGAGGACCTCTCATTGACCCACATCCCAGAGGTCATCAGCGTCACGCTGAAGGTCCCCAGCATTTTGCCACCATACAAACAAGCCATCTCTGTTGCGGCTGGGTCCTCCTTGGAAGACGTTCTGAAGAAGGCGCAGGAGCTAGGAGGATTCACGTGAGGTCCCCGCCTCCTTAGCCCACACCGTTCCCATCAACCCCAATACCTGAAATGGGGTCATAGAAAGGACAGGGGACAGAGGACAAAGAAGACTCCCTTGGGAGTGGCACTGCTTCCCCCTTCTGTGCTCCTTTCTCATGCTTGCTGTCATGGAAACAGGAACCAGGGGTCCACATTGTCATTAAGAAAGCAGGTTCTAGAGGCAGAGCCCCTGCACTGGAACTCAGCTCCTCTGCTCTGCAGCTAGGCTTCCCAAAACTCAGGATATCAGATGTGCTCCCTTCCTCACGGGGCCAACATGAGGAGTCCAGGAATTAGTGCACTTAGAGATCCTAGCCCATGCCTTTCCTGTGTGCAGGGTCCAGCATGTACTAAGCACTCAATACAGGTCAGCTTTCATAAGCACAAGAATTTTTAAATGCCGGGCATGGTGGCACATGCCTGTAATCCCAGCATTCAGGAAGCCAAGGCAAGGGGATTGCCACAAGTTCAAGGCCAGCCTGGGCTACATAATGAGTTCAAGGCCAGCCTGAACTACAGATGAGACCCTGTCTTAAAAAAAAAAAAAATAAAAGTTTTAGTATCGAATAATCTTTGCCAAGTATTGTGGCAAATGCTTGTAATCCCAGTACTCGGAGAGGCTGGTACAGGAGGATCATGAGTTCAAGCAATTTAGTAAGACTCTGACTCAAACTAAAAGCTAAGAAAAGGGCTGGGGATGTACCTCAGTGCCAAGGCCTTGGGTTCAGTCTCCAGTACTGGAAAACAAACAAACAAAACCTTGCTTCTCACCATGAGATTTGACAAGTCTGAGAAAGAGCATGTCTAGATCACTGCTCCGTCAGGCCCATCCGCACCTAAGTAAGATGAGCGTGACTCTCATGTCACCAGGGAAGAGTCTGACTCAGAAGTTGAGTGCTTTTTATCAGGTCACCTCTTCCCTTGACTTCTCAGACTAGAGATATGTGAAGGCCCCTTTAAAAGGCAAAATTTCTTCCAAGGCTGGGCATGGTGTCACATTCCTGTAATCTCAGCACTCAGGAGGCTGAGGCAAGAGGATCGCTATGAGTTCAAGGCCAGCTTGGGCTACATAGTGAGACCTTGTCCCAAACAAACAAATTCTCCCAGACCCCAGGTTAAGCTACTTCTCTAAAATGACTTGGATGTGTACTAATAGGTTTACTATCAAGTCCTTTCTCTTTCTTCCTCCTGACAGCTATAAATCCTAAACAACTTTGCAAATTAAATAGAAAGAAATGTATAAAAACCAGTAATATTTAGTAAGGACCATCTGCATGAGTTCAGGCTTCCATTGCCAGGCCCAGTGATCTCCACTCCCTTATACTTGAGCCACTACCATACAGGCTGCCACAGCTCCCTAGGCTCTTCCCTGGCCCAGACACTTTGTTTGCTGTCAGGCCCTCTCCCTGGTTCTCTTCCAGCTCCATCTCCTGCGGTGCACAGAGTAGCGCTGCTGGGTACCAGTCCAGTCCCTGGCAGCTACAAACACATGCTGACCACAGCTCAGTCCAGCAGACATGGAAATTGCCCAGAACCCACTAGTACTTGTGTTTGGATATTGTCATTAAAAGGAAAAATGAATACAGTTTCACATTTTTTTATTCAGAGCTTTAAGAACCTCTGGGAAGCCATCATGGATGCCCACCTCTGAAATTGTTCTCTTGTTAGTGCAGGTGGGCAATTGCCCTGAGTTCAGGACCCACATGGGAGGCATGTGAATACTGAGCAAAGAAAGCTGCACTGCTGAGACAGACAGAGGTGAAGAGAAGTGGCCCAGAGCAGCCACTGCCCTGGCAGAATTAAAGAATAAGCAGAGACAAGGGCTGTTCATGGACATTCCCTAAAAAAATACAGTCCCTCCACATCTGCAAGTTCTACATCCTCAGAGCCAGTCAACCTTAAATTGAAAATTTTAGAAAAACATTTGTGTCTGTACTGAACATGTACAGACTTTCCTCTTGTCACTGATCCTTAAGTAATACCCTGTAGCAGCCATTTACGTAACATTTCCATTGTATTGGTAAACATAAGTCATCTAGAAAAGATTTAAAGTACATGAGATGATATGCAGATACTAGGCCATTTTATATAGGGCACTTGAACATCTCCATGGATATTGGTATCCACGGTGGAGGAGGGCCCTGGAATAAAAGATGTAATCCCCAGTACCAATCTTCTCTCTAAAAATACCAAACAAACCAACCCCAACCCCAACCCATTGGGGTTACTTAGGCAATGGGCAAGTACAGTCCTTCCAAATGGGCTTCTGGGTTGGTTTGTTTAGTTGATTTTTTTTTTTTTTAGGGAAAGGGGTTGGTACTAGGGATTAAACCCAGGACCTTCAAACTGAGCTACATCCCCAACCCATTTTTAGTTTTTATTTTGAATCAGGTTCTCACTAAATCACTAAGTTGCTCAGGCTGGGCTTGAATTCACAATCCTCCTGCCTCAGTCCCCCAAAGTGCTAAGATATCTCCAGCAGTGGGAGTGTGGAGTGTGTAGAATCAGAGCAAAGTGAGTAGCCCAGCCCCAAGAAGGAAATGCCACTGAGACATGGAAACTTCCAGAGCAAGAGAGTCACTGCTGCCACCGCTGTCTCCGCCTCTGTTCCCATGTCCCTGTGTCTTTGAGCACTGGCCTTGCCCTCTTACTGCTCATTGGCATCTTCCGTGAGACACCAGCAGCTTCTGCTTCTCACCCCCCACAACACAACCCCCAGGAGGGGACAACTGCTGAGCTGAGAAGGTCACAGGTGTCTCTCCCTGGAGGCCATGTCATGGTCAACACAGAGGATGACGCCTGGGTGGGCAGTATTGGGCTGGAGAGGACAGGCTGGAGGGAAGACCCACGGACCTCTAGTGAGATGGCCCAGGAGGGGCTTGGCTAGTGCTGGGCCTGATGGCCAGAGCAAGATGTTTGTGCTGGTGTGGGTGAGCTGTACTTCTCCTCTTGGGAATGACAGTCACCTCTCTTCACCTTCCCACTTTCTAGGTATGGAACCCAGGGCTCCTTGTCGGGTCCCTTCCTGACCTCTGTGATGGGGAAGGTGGCTGGGGACAGAGAATTCTGGCACCTCCTCCAAGCCCCTGACACCCCTCTGCTGCAAGGTGAGTCTGGTGTCCTCCCCATCCTTGTTCCTACCCTGACCAGCAATGAGGTTTCACCAACTCACCCCACCCAGATTTTCTTCCTTCGCTGCTTGTTTGCTTCCTCCCTCCCCCTTCTCCCCCTCCCTCCCCCTCTCCCTCCCTTCCTTCTTTTACTCCCTCCCCCCACCCCCCTCTCTTCAGTACTAGAGATTGAATCCAGGGCCTTCACATCAGAATCTCACTAAGTCCCTAAATTGTCCAGGCTGGGCTCAAATTTGCCATCCTCCTGCCTCTGCCTCCAAAGTTACAGGATTACAGTTGTGAACCTCTACACCTGGGTGATATTTTACTTTTCTTTCTTTCTTTTTTTTTTGGTACCGGGGATTGAACTCCGGTCCTTGTGCTTGTGCAGCAGGCAATGAAACCACTGAGCTAAATCCCCGGCCCCCTGGGTAATATTTTAAAAAGTAAGTAAGTTTGCCAGGTGTGGTGGCACATGCCTATAATCCCAGCATTCAGGAAGCTGAGTCAGGAGGATCGCTGAGTTTTCAAGGCCTCCCTGGGCTACACAGTGAGTTCAAGACCAGCCTGACCTACAGAGCGAGACACTGTCTCAAAAACCAAAAACCAAAACAAAACAAAACCGAAAATGAAAAAACAAAAAAAGCTAGCAATGTGTGTAATTTAAAATTTTCTAGTAGCTGAAACTATTACTAACAACATATCTTATTTAACCCAATATATTAAAAAATTATCATTCCAAACTGTTATCACTGTAAAATTATTGATATGTTTTACATACTTTCTTCCTCTCATTTTTATTTTCCCAGTGAATCAATGGCATAAATCACTTCTCTGCTGTAGTATTTTGAGTTTCCTCCTAGCTTGTTCAGTTTAGGCTGCTGTAACAAAACCCCATGAGCTGGATACTGCTAAAGGCTCAAAAGTCCAAGATCAGAGAGGTTTGGTGTCTGATGAAGACATTTTCTGGTTAATGATTGGCAACTTTTAGCTGTGTCCTCACATGGGGAAAGGGACAAGGTAGCTCTCTGACCTGTTTTATTTTATTTTTGTTTGTTTTTTCAGACAAGGGCTTGCTATGTAGTTCAGGCTGGACTTGAACTCACTATGTAGCCCAGACTGACCTTGAATTTGGGATCCCTCTGCCTCAGCCTCCCAAGTGCTGAGATTACAGGTGTGTGTCACCATGCCTGGTTGGACTTTTTTTTGAGACAGGGTCTAGCTATGTAGTTCAGGCTGGCCTTAAACTCACTAAGTAGCCCAGGCTGGCCTTGAACTTTCGGGGATCCTCCTGCCTCAGCTTCCTGAGTGCTGGGATTATAGGCTTGCACTGCCATGCCTGTCTCAGGCCTCTTTTAAAAGGCACTAATCTTTGCCAGGTGTGGTAGCACACACCTATAATCCCAGCACTTGGGAAGTTGAGGCAGGAGGAGTCCTGCAAGTTCAAGGCCAACCTGTGCTACATAGAAAATTCAAGGGCAGCCTGAACTACATAGTGAGACTCCATCCCTAAATACATACACACACACTACTGTAATCCACTTCTTGAAGTTTCCACCCTCATGACCTAAATATCTCACAAAAGCCCCCCTCTAGTACCTTCACCTTGGTGCTTAGGTTTCAACATATGAATTTTTCGGGGGAACACAGCATTCAGATCATGGCATGTCCATTAAAATGAAACCTCTTTGGCACCTGGGTTCTCAGAGGAGCCTTCCAACCCCACTGTGGGATGCTGGTATTATTTCTGACTTTTTTCTGTGCTGGGATGGAACCCAAGGCTTGTGTATTCTGGAGAAGCACTCTACTATGGAGCTCCATACTCAACCCAGTTGTTAGTAATGTTGTCCCTCCTGTTTCACTAGCGAGAACAGCAGCACTCAGAGGTTCAGTCACCTGCTCAGTGCTAATGAGTGACAGGGCTGGGGCTTGAACCCAGCTGTCTTACTGGAGCCCGGGTCCCCTGGAGCACAAAAGGAGACTTCCTCTGTGATCCTGGCTCTCCCTCCAGACCGCACTGAGCAAGTCCCTCTTCCTGATGGCCCTTGAGGTATTACAGAGATAGTGTCCCTGCCCATCCAGCTTTGTCAGGGTCCCTGGTTCCTTCTGCCCTGTGTTTATTATCCAGCATGCGGTCTGGTACCCCCATTCTCTGCAAGCTCCATACTGCAAAATGAGCCTTTGAAAGCTGGTTCAGAGACTCCCAGCTGGCTCTGGACAGTTCCCAGCTTCCTACCACTAAGCCCTGAGTAGATCTTACAGACCCTGACTTCAGGGTGGGGTCCAGATGATGAGACGGGGGCGGGGGGCTGCCCTGTTCAGCCCTATACTCCATGTATTTCTGCAGGTATTACTGACTACAGACCACAGGATGGAGAAACCATTGAGCTGAGACTGGTTAGCTGGTAGCCCTGGGCTCTCCCATCCCAGCAACCTAGAACACTCCCTGGGCTTCTGTCTTCTTTCCTGATGTCCTGGCACCCGCACTTGCCTGACCCTGCAGCCACCTCCTGTGAATTTGGAGCAATGTCTCCCAAATCACTTCATCTACCACCCCTCAAGGATCTAAGCCACGGCCCGAGCTGGAGCAGGGAGCCCAGCACCTCCCCTGGGAAGCCTGGCCCCGAAGGCCTCAGGAAGTCTGTCTGCCCCATGGTCTGAAGGACATGTGGCTCTGACTCCTCAGCAGAGGAGGAGAGGAAGTGTGTCGGCCACAGTATTGTGAGTACCACTGCTTTGGGATTGGGGTCCTGCAAGGAGGCCTCTGTGGCCCCGGGGCTGGAATCCTGAACCCACATCTCCACTCTGTTGTCATGTGGTGGCCCTGGAGCTGGTTGTGGTAAAGTGGCTGGTGAGGCCTCGGCAGGGCTGCTCAATGCCCACCTCTGAAATGATTAAAGTCTTGATTGTCTGAGCATGTGCTGAAGCCTCCTGGTGCCTCACACCTCGGCAAGCTTGGGACAGGTGGCAGAGAAGGGCAAGTGCCCCAGGGGGAGCACATGAGAGCACTCTTTGGTATCAGGAGGATGCTGGCTGTGGCCGCCCTGACTGCCATTTACTGAGCACCTATTTGCTAGACACTGTCTGGCACTCCTCTGTGAGTCGTTAATATTTTATTCTCATCTCTGATTTACAGATAAAGAAATCAGTGTTCCAGAAGGGAAAATGACTCACTCAAGGTCACAGGCTAGAGTAATGCTGTGGATGAAAGGGGTGTGTCCCTGAGCCAGAGCTGGGCAGTGTGGCGCGTGGAGCCTCTGAAGCAGGAGGGTGCCTGAGTCCAGGGGTTTGAGGCCACATGGCAGTGTGCCAAGACTCTGCCAGATGTGGTGGTGCACACCTGTGATCCCAGCACTCTGGGAAGCTGAGGCAGGAGGATTGCAAGTTCAAGCCCAGCCTGGGCAATTTAGTGACTTAGTTTGACCCTGTCTCCAAAGAAAAAAATAAAGGGCTGGAGATGTAGATCAGTGTAAAGCCTCTGGGTTCAATCCCCATCCCCCACCCCCCCATTTGTAAGGAAAAAAGAAAGAAAGCAAAGAAAGAAAAAGAGGAAGGAAGGAGGGCAGGCAGGAGGGAGGAAAAAAAAGAAACCACAAGCATGAACTGAGGAAGCTACCTGGCTCTACTCCGAACCTGAAAACTGGGGGCTTCAGTGCCTGTCGATTGCACGGCAGGGCCCCACTTCGACTAGAGGCCAGCCTCTCGCCCTGTTTTTAGCTAAGACATCCTGAAGGCACCAACGCAGGCCTCTGCAGCCAGGATATGGAGACCCTGCCTCTTGGGGTGGCTGAGGCTCTGGACTGGCCTCTGGGAGGTGGGGTCAGCCGAGGGACTCATGTTCTGTGCCTCCCTCCAAGGTCTAGGTCAGGTCTGCCTAGGAAGTGACATACTGGGGTCCTTGAAGCTGGGATTAAATACATGCTTCCTCCTAGAGGACCAACTTCAAATACCTAAGATCCAGTAGTTAGGGAAGAAAGTGACTGAAAATATTCTTCTACACTGGAACAAACAGAGTTGCAAGAAGTCCAGGGGGAATCGGCCGGTTTTCAAAGTGAAATGCCTCAATTTAGAACCCTGGAGTCCTTGTTCATTTCCAGTCCTTAAACTTGGTAGGGAGGGGTCAGGACCTGCACTATGACTGTCCCTAACATCCCTGTCTCAGAGGGATGGAGGCTCAGAGATGCCAGCAGCTTGCCCCAGGTTACAGCCTATAGGTGAAGGAGCTGAGATCCTCAACTATTGGTCCCAGTGCACTACACTTGCTACCGCACCTCCCTCCTGCCCCTTTGTGCCTTAGGACAGGGCCCTCCCACTCAGGAGACTGGGTGTGCCAGGCTAAAGAAAAGCTGAAGGGTCCTGGAGCTGGGTTTGCAGCTCTCCAGGAGGGACTGTCTTTGTTAGGGTGTATTGGCCCTGAGGAGCAGGAAGCTCCTGAATCTTGCTGAAATCAGAGTATTTACTGGAAAGACCCAGCCCACTCACTCAGCACAGCCAAGAGTCATAGTAAACTTGAAGCTGAGGGTCAGATGTCCCTCATCTCCACTACCCTCAGCCCTTCTCTACCTCTGCAGTTCCTCTGGGTGCAGCCCCAGCCAAGACTACTCTTTTTTAAAAAATTTTTTTATTGAGATGGGGTCTCACTAAGTTGCCCAGGCTGGGTTTGAACGTGTGACCCTTCTGCCTCAGCCTCCCAGAGTCCTGGCATTACAAGTGTGCACCAATGTCCAGCTCCCAGCCAGAGTTCTGCCACTTCCAATTCAAGCCCCCAGCTCCTTTTTACCTTCTGAGTCTATTTCCCAAAGCCACTGGGCCACTGAATCAAGTATCTACTGGCACAAACAGCAGGAACCCAACGAAGCCAGGGATGAGAGGACAGTCATGTTTGACTCCAGGCTTCACCGTTAAGAGTCCAAGGGGGCACCCCTGTAGGACTAGGGACAAGGCTGCATCTAGCCTGCTATCTTCATCATTTTCTCATTGCTGGGACACAATAACTGACACCCACAAATTGAAGGAGGAAAGGTTTATCTCGGCTCATAGTTTGTAGAAAGTTCAGTCCATAGTCAACTGGTTCCAAGGCAGGGTGGCATGGCAGAGGGGCATCGCAGAGGAGAAATAGCTCATGGTGTGGCAGTGGGAAACATTAAGGGAAGAGGAAAGGAGATAAACCTTTCCAGGCTACACAGTGACCCACCTCCTTTGATCAGACTTCACTTCCCAACATCACATTTATCTGTAAACTCATCACTGAACCAATGAGTGCCATGCCCCCCCCCCCACAATTCAGTCATCTCCCAAAGCCCCATCATGAGCGCATGAGACTTTAGAGGGACATCTAGATATAACCCTAACACCTGCATTTAAACCTGAATGGCTCCAGATTAACCACTTCTACTCCTAAGCCTGTTTCCTGACTCACAGCTGTGGGATGTCTTCTTGACTTACAGCATGTTCATGCCTATGATCACATCATAGATCACACATGGAGAAACTGATGGCAGGGTCATGCAGTAATAAGAAGAGAGGTCCATCCCACAGGTTCTGTGATCCATTTACTAGAGATGAACTCTTTCTCCCTTCCCGACATCCCCCAGAGTTCCTCTCTACATCATCTGCTTCTCATAGCACCAGTGTGGGCCTCTTAAAGGGCTCAGATCGGAGGATTTGGACAGGTGTGTGTAAATGCAGTCTGTTCTGAGCTTTAAAGTTGACTCCAAGGAATGTGAAGGAAGCCCCTCTGCCCCCCATGAAGCTGGGCACTCTGGACCCCAATCCCCCAGACAGAATGTTCCTGGGCACTTGGCTTCCTTCCCTTGGCTAAGCTCTCAGTCTGTGAGGGAGTCATTCCCACGCCTGCCTCCAGATAACTGAGGAGCAGATGAGATGGACCCCTCCATCCCTGGCAGCCCACGGTGTTTTCTTCTGCACTCATGCCCTGCTGGGTTCCCATTGGGTGTGGCCACTGCTGGTCATCTTTGGGCTTTGCCCTCAGATTCCCCCACCCCAGGGGTGTGCAGCCCTCTTCATTCCATCCTGGCCTCACTTTACTGATTTGTTTTCGTCATAGCCACCTCTCAGTAGCAGGGAAGGTGGGAGCGACTTTGTGGTGGTTTGGAAAGCGGTATAGACAGTCTCACCACCCACCTCCCCTGCTAGCTCAGCACTGAAAAGGTCAGGGTGTTTTTATTGTTTTGTTTTGAGGGGCAGTGGTTTGAGACAAGGTCTCATTATGTAACCCAGGCTGGCCACAAACTTGCGATCCTCCTGCCTCAACCTCCTGAGTGGTGGGATTACAGGGGTGCATTGTGTCACACCTGACTTGTTTTTCTTGTTTTTAAATATTATTTTTAGTATTGTTTTTTATTGCAGGAAACACTAAGAAAACAGAAAAATCTCAAAAAGAATATAGCCCATAGGGGACCCAGATTCTTCTTACTCAAGAAGTAATGGTGGTAGGAGCTACTTCCTTGGCTGGCTCAATTTCCCTCTCAGAATTCCTTCGGGAGAAGCACTGTCTAAACATCTCCCTACTTTGCTCCTCAGCCTGGAAATCCCTTTATCCACACCCCTGCCCTGCAGTTTGGGCTGTTCAGTAATCTGCCGGCTCAGCCGGTGTCAGGATCATCAGGGGAAAATGAGACGGCGCTGATTCCTGGGCCCAGCCCCAGCAGAGAGGTCTGGTTCCTTAAGTCTCCGGTGAGGCTTAGGGTTTTTCTCATCGGTGTCTAAAGGCTGTTGAAGGGATGGGGAGCGGGGGCTGGAAAGCATTCAGGAGCCTGACCACCAGAGGGCGCAGTGGGTCAGGCTTGCCCTGTACAGTCTAGTTCCTCCAGATCGGTTGGGCTCATCGAGGACGTGCCGGTCCGCCAACAGGCGAAGATTGAGCCACGGCCCTGTGGGCTGGAGGTTCTGCAGGGGAAGGAAGCCCGATGACTGAAAGAGGTTCTCTGCCGGCACCGGGCTCCTGCTGGGGTCTTGGTCCTTGTTTACCTGGACTCCAGAGCTCAGAGAGGCCAGGGCCAGGCCAGGAATCTGGGTCAACTGGTCCTGCTCTGGGGGCACTATCCAACCCTAAGCTCAGAGAGCATCCGTCGGTCGGATAGGAAAATTAAAATCTAGATAAGGGCAAAGACTTGGGAAGCTGCTTTGCCTTCCAGTGCCGGGCTCTGTCCCCCAGGGCTGGGGGAAGGTGTGGACCCTAGAAGTCCAGCTACTTGAGTCCGAGTGCCCAGGGGACAGAGCAAGGACTGCTAGCCAGGGATGGGTGCCAGCCGGCGGTACTCTGCTTCCGCAGCTGTGGGTAGCCTTGGTGATTCAGCTTTCCTTTGCTGCCTCAGATGGGGCACCGCCCTGGGCTGGGAGGAAGGCGAGGATGCCGAGGCTAGGAGGGGCGATGGAGGAGTCGTAAGGAACCCTTTGGTCCAGCTCTACTGGATATCGAGATCACACAAGATAACTGGCCAGGGATCAGTTGAACCTGAAACTTGTCCTAGGATGTGGCCTGTGGGTTCCTCTTCAGTGTCCTATTCCTTGACAGTTTGGGCGGCTCTGCGGGATTCTCCAGTGTTTCCAGCCCTGTGTGTGGGTCTCCGTGGGAATGAGAGGGCCCTAGTTTCCAGCCGAGGCGGGGACAAACAGGATAGGATGACAGCTCCAGCCCAGGGTCTCTAAACCGCAGACGCGCCGGAGGGAGGAGGAGGAGCCACGCACGCGTGCCCTGTCGATGGGGGAGGGACTG